TATATATATATATATATATGTGTGTGTTTGTGTGTGTGTGTGTTTGTGATTGTGTGTATGTGTGTATATATATGTAAATATATATATATGAATATATATATGAATATATATATACATATATATATATATATATATATATATATATATACATATATATACATGCATTTATATATTTATATATATGAATGATGAAAACACATTAACGTGTTGATATTAAGGTAGAAAAACCCACAAAATAAAAACTAGATTTATTGAAGATTAGACGACAGTTTCGGAATCCACTTGGATTCCATCCATAGGTCTGAAGAGGAAAGGGAGAGGAAGGGGTATAATAGAGGGAGAGGACAGGGAACGCGGTGACACGGGGCAGGTGAGGACAGACGGACGGAAGCGAAGGGAGGTCAGATCAGGTTGGAGGGTCGGGCGGAATGTGTGCAGGATGGCCGGCGTACGGGAGAAGGCGGAGGATGTGGGAAGCGAGGAGACTGTCGGCAGGAGAAAAGCCACTGTTGAAATTAAGCAGCAGCTTTATTAAGGAGGATTCCACTGGTCTGTGCGCCACTGACCAATCCATCTGATGGCCTGTATCCCACTGATGGCAGAAGAGAGCGTTGTTGTTGTGTCCCCTGGATATAGCGTACTTATGTTGAGACAGGCGCTTAGTGAAACTGGCGCCCATCTCGCCAAAGTATTGCTCGTCACAGGAGGTACAAGGAACAGCATAAGTGCCCACCTTCGAGGAAGAGGGAGGGCTGGTGTGGACCAGGTTTCGACGGAGAGTGTTCACCTGGCGAAAGATCAGCCTGCAGTTGAGAGTGTGAAGAGGGCGGCGGAGAGAGTAGATCTCCTCCGTGTAGGGCAGGCTGAAGACGGACAGGTGAGGAGTGTCTTTAGGAGAGGATTCTTGATAGAAGGTCCGCCGTGCCCTGGATAGCGCGGCGTCGAGGACATGGCGAGCGTAGCCCAGTTTGGAGAACGAACGATGCAGAAAGTCGATCTCTCCATCCAGGTACTGGGGGTCACAGATGCGGAGGGCGCAGAGGAATAGCGACGTGGCAACACCTCTCTTTACAAGGAGAGGATGGTATGAGAAGAAGTGTATGTACATACCACTATGCATGGGATTCCTGTATATGGAGGAGAAGTGGTCAGCAGAGCGATGCACTAGGGTGTCCAAGAAGGGGAGCTTGTCAACCTCCCATTCCACCTTGAAACGGATGGAAAGGGAGAGAGAGAGTTCAGCTGGGTCAGGAAGTCCGAGAACAGGGCAGGGTCATGAGGCCAGAGAGCGAAGACGCCATCAACATACGTCAGCCAAACCGTCGGACGAAGGGATATGGAAGGGAGAAGCTCAGACACGAAGAATTCCATAAACAGGTTAGCCAAGACCGGAGAGAGGGGAGAGCCCATGGCAACACCGAAGGTCTGGGAGTAGAAGCGACCCTCGAAGGAAAAGGAGTTCGATTCCACACACAGACGAATCAGCTGGAGGAACACGTCGGTGGGCAGAGGGAGACGAGGATCCTCTGCGGGGAGCCTCGTCTGAAAGAAAGAGAGGACATCATCAAGCGGGACCTTGGTGAACAGGGAGTCGACATCCAAGCTCATCATGGTCGCCGGCGGGACACCACGGACCCGGGAGATGAAGTCCTGAGAATGGCGGAGGTGAGCAGAGAAGGTGCCGAGAAGGGGAGTGAGGGACTTCGCCAGCCAAGCTGCCAGAGGGTGCGTCACAGATCCCCGGGAAGAGATGATGGGGCACAGATCCCCATCGCCTTCAGGCGATAGCTCTTCTCCCTACCTCTCCCTCGCTGTCTCTCTCTCCCTCTCAGTCTCTCTTCTCTCTGTGTCTCTCTCTTCTCTCTCCCTCTCTCTCTTCTCTCTCCTCCCTATCTCTCTCTCTCTTTCGCTCTCCTTTCTCTCTCTCTCTGTGCAAAGAATATTTGAAACATTCGAAATATTTATCTATAGAAAAAAAGAAATTTCGTACAAGACAATAGTAAAACAAATAGTATATTTCAAAATTTGAGATTGTTTGAACAAGGGACGCGTGTGATCCAAGTGACCACTATTTGTGATAATCCTGATAATTCTTTTGAGTTGAAGTTTTGAGGGTATTAAGTGGGCTGGATATGTAGTGCACCAAATAGGGTTACAGTAGGTAAGGAGAGGGTAAATGTGAGCATAATAAATACACTTTAGTAAATAGACTATGGATAACAACTGAGTTATAATAGCTGTAAACTCATTTACGGCTGCATGCTTTGAGGCCTATAAATAATTGAAATTATATATGATATATTAGACTGCTTAAGACTGAGAGTAAATATGTCAATGTTATCATTAATGAAGCAGTATTGATTTAAACATTGTGCAAAATATTCATTCTTGATGAAGACGTGATTCCTCCAATTTCGCTGTGTGTTCTGACTAAGTGGTGGGAGACGTACCCGTCTAATGCATAAAGGTGTTTAGTAGACCCTTGACTAAGTTTCTGTGACTGCCAGTAAATCAGGAGGTTTAGGTAGGCAATTTAGGAGCGTTTTAAAATGTTTTTTGAATTGACCTTATATATATATATATATATATGTAAATATTAATGTGGACCTTGTGGTGTGATGATTTGCCGGATATGCTTGTAGGTTCAAAAGAAACCAGGGATCACTTATCAAGGCTATATTCAAGTACACAGAGGAGCACTGCGGTGTGCGACCGGACAGTCAGCTGACGGGCGACGCTCTCCCTGAGGCGTGTTTTAACTGGAACATGCCACTGGCAAACAAGTTGTTACATGAATGGAGGTAGATAGTTGCATGGTTAATATGATACAGAGGGTGATAATCAGTGGTGTACATGTTATGGTATGGTATATACACAGACACTAATATATCACATATCTACAGATTTTGCTTCAAAAGTATATTCTTCGATACTGAAGTACCTGGACAAAGAGTTGATGTCAGATTGACCACTGATTTTGTTGATTATATCAAGGTAGAAACGATATCATCAAAAGGTGATCTATAGAGATTCTCCATCAGGTGTTTGACAGCTTATATATAATTAGAAAAGGCAACGTGAAAAATAGAAATGCTATTTCGTGCTATTTCGAGAGAAAAAGGGGTGTAAAGAATAACTCCACTCAACTCTACAGGTATATATAGTAAGGTGCAAGAACGTTAACTTTTGTTAGAGTGAACTGATTTTTTGGCAAATTGATAGCATATTCACAATATACAGTATCTTTGCTTATTTGAGTTGGGTGTTCTAAGATACAATATATCTGTAAATTACAATAAAGCAGTAAAAATAATAAGTAGCAGGATAAGAAGTAGCAGTAGTAGTAGTGGCAGTAGCAGTAGAGGTATTTGAGGTAGTAGCAGTAGTAAGAGTAGCAGCAGTAGTAGTATTAGAGACAGCGGGAGTAGTGGAAGTAGTCGTAGTAGTAGTAGCAGTGCCATAAAAATAGTAGTAGAAGCATAGAGGAAGAAACAGTAGGGGCAGTAGTAACAGTGTGGGAGTGGGAGGCAGTATGTGATAGTGATAGCAGCAGTAATAGTAGTAAAAGTAGAAGTAGAAGCAGTTGTAGTAATAACAGTAGCAGGAATAGCAGAAGGAGTAGTAATAGTAGTAGTAGAAGTAGTCATAATAATGATAGTAGTAAATGTAGTAAAAGTAGTAATCGTAGATATAGTAGTAATATTAGTAGTAGTAGTAGAAGTAGTAGTAGTCATACAAGTAATAGTAGTAGAAGTAGCGATAGTAGTAGTAGCTGCAGGCAGCAGTAGAAAAAATAGTAGAGATAATAGTAATAGAAAAGCATAATAGAAAAAAAAATATATATATATATATATTGTCTGGAGCACCAATGCCTCGCGACCAGCAGGCAGGCCGCCCACTCCCAGGTGCCTCTGAGGAAGCGCGCCCGCAAGGACGAGGGCGAGGCCACGCCCGAGAAACAGAGGACGACTCCGGCCGAAGGGCAGGCTGTGCCAAGCCCTCGCTGGTGCACAGGCGCCGCGAGGCCACAGGACGAGAACTACGGCGAGTGCCACGGCGAGTGCCACGGCGAGTGCCACGGCGAGGAAAAGAGCCTGGACGAGATGGCCGAGGACTTGGAGACTCCCAGTGTTTGTATACGTCTGTGTGTTTATGCATTTGCGTTTATGCGTGTGTTTGTATGTGTGCTTGTGTCTGTATGCGAGTGTGTTTATGTACGTGCCCCCGTGAGCACCATCCTCCGGGGGACCTACGACCTGGCGCCGAAGGAGCAGGAGATCCCCTGGCGGGCTCGGCCCTCAAGCCGGGCAACGTCGTCGCGGACACGGGCGCCGCGAGGTCACGGAGCCGCTAAGGCCTCCCCCACGTCGCCCGAGTTCCTCCCAAGGGCACGGCCGGCGTCGAGTGGCTGGCCCTGCTGGCGCCGCCCTTCCAGCCCACGCCCTGGCCGACAATCCGGACGCCCCAGAGCAGCAGTGATGATGACGTCACGGCGCCGTTGAGCGCCTGCGGCCGCTGTTGCTCGCTCGCTCTCCGGGGACTGCGAGCACGGCGTTTTGTTGCATCAAAAAAGATGAGTAGATAGATAAATGAAATAATGATAATGAAAATAATTCGAAAAAAAAATACATATAAGATATGTGTTTCTCTGTGTATGTGTGTTTCTCTTTGTGTGTGTTTGGGTAAGTGTGTATATCCGTGCATGATAGACAACAAAGACACACATGAAATAGATTCAACACACACACACTCATATGTAATGATAATGATAATAACAATAGTAATGATAAAAATACTACTACTACTAATATTACTACTACTACTACTAATAGTAATAATGATAACAATAATAATGATAATAATAAATATAAATAATAACCTTTAGCGTCCTGCTTCGCCACCTGCAAGCCCTGCGGCCGCCCGCCCGGACCCTTTCGAGGGACGCCGGAGAGCGCATTTCCGCCGCGGGTCAGGGTGGCGAAGGAGGCTGCACATATCCTATGCAGAAGACTCTACCCCACTTACCTCAAGCTCTCAATGACAGGTCTTTATGATCTGCCTAGTTTTTCACATTTCAATTTGATTTAATAATAACTTAGTGACCACTATTATACACTAGTAATGCCAAACCAAACCGATTTTATCCCACCCTAGCCTGATTTAACCGAACTCTACGTAACCGGTTCCCTAGTTTAGAGTACGTTTGTCTGTCTTGGAGAAAAGTTTCCTAATTAGGTGCTTAATCGATTGTTCTTAGTTTCGTGAATCCTGTTATACCGAAAACTGACCATTATTTCACCCAACAGGTGTTCCTGTGCCCCTTACCTGCAAGTGCCCATCACCTTGAGGTATATGGCCACTGGCATTCACCAGCTGACAGTTCCAGATTGCCACAGCGTTCCACAAAGTCATATAAGCAGATGTAGCAGCCGTGTGACACGAGTCGTTGCCAGGATGAGCCGTGACACCATAAAGATGCCTGGGGCAAATGAAACACTCAGAGTGATGGGGATTTCATGGCAATTGCTAGAATGCCTGTTGTTGTTGGCTGCATTGCCTGCTCCCACAGAACCATCAAAAAGCCACCTGGGGACCGATCTGAAATCTTCTGAAACAGGAAAGGAGTATTTTCCCTAAATATACAGGCAGTTTGAGGGCCATAACTAGGTCTTTTTAGTAGGGTTGCTCGATGGCCAGACAGCGCTCACAACGGCAATATTTTCGCTAACAGCCGCCTGTGTGTAGGAATGGAGGATGGAATCCATCGAGGTCCACCAGCAATCCTCAATCCCATCAAGAGCAACGCTGCAACAGTTCACACACTGCCACCAGAAATTGCATCGAACGGGCTTTCGGTGTCCTCAAGAGATTTTGTTGTTTGGGCAAGAAAACGCAAACAAGTCTGGAAAACACAAAGGTTACTCTCGCCGCCGCAGCCAAGCTCCACAACCTCGCTGTCAGACAGAGGAAGCCACTGCCCGATGATGCGCCATTCCAGCCAGAAGCAGGAGCCCCTGACGACCCAAATCCTCTCCCTGATAACCATGCCGGTGCCCCTTAATGCACAGGGCGGTGTAGGACGTCGCCAGGTTATCCAAAATTACTCTTGAGCCTTGTATTTCTCATGTATTGTATGGAGGTACAAAAAATATCATCTAGTTTTATTGAAGATTGCCCTGAAAGCCAAATGGGTGTTTATCAACGAATACTATTATCACATTGTCAAAATGAAGAAAATAAGGAAAAAATACTATACATTCAGGAAGCCTCAGTCGTTAACTGAATCTACTTATACATTGCA